AGCCGACAGTAAACCGAGGCACTCGTCGGTGTTGTGTCCCGGAGACTTATGATATGCAAATAGCAAGTTTTGTCAAGCTTCTCCTCCAGAGTTCTTACAGGTTTTGGGTCAGGGATAATTCCTTTGCCTTTTAGTTCTTCAAAGATAGTTACCGCTCCTGCTGAATAGACAATATGATATCTCGTTCTCACGTTATCGGCATATTGATCTCGTGCAGCTCTAGAATTCGAAGTATCTGCATTGCCTTTTGCATAATTTCAGAATTGAGCCTTCTCGAAGGTCTTTTTATTCTTTTTTATATCTTCGGGTTCCGTCTTATCTTCCTTGATGGAAAAGTCAAAGTTGGGAACCGACATCGACTCATCTACAATAATGAACTGTTGGGCACGCATGAGAAATTCTTGGAACGTAGGTTTGTTTTGGCAGAGAGTCCACCGAAATATCGAGTTCGGCTTTAATTCGGCTATTGCAGTAATCAATAAAGTCTCAGGGTGGCAGGGTTCCATGTTCTAGATGCGTTCGTTAAACCGGGACACATAGTCTTTAACACTTTCATTGTCTTCCTGCACGATGTTGGTAATTGATTCCCTTGGGATGAGACAAAATTGAGCACCGATGAAGTGCGACCGAAAAGCCATCCGTAGTTGCTGCCACTTCCATATCGAATGGATAGGTAAGGTGTAGTACCACTTCTGAGCTCGCGGCCCTAGTGTGAGCGAAAACATACGACGTCGCAAAGAGTCGGACGCACCATGTAAGTCCATCGAGGATGTGTAATGTCCCAAATGCGCATCAGGGTCGGAAGTCCCATCATACATACCGATTTGTGGAATATTTATTTTGGCAGAAAGAGTGTCCCCCGTAAGTTCGGGTGCTAAAGGAGAATCAGCTTCAATGGTTACGTTACCTGAGCTCGAGACATGTCGTGGAGGCTCTTCCTGTGACTTTTGTCTAGTTTCCAGCTCAGCTAAGCGCTTTTGTAAAGCTTTTAGTTCTGAACCTTGTCGTGACATAAGATTTCGTTCAATTTGACGATGCAGATCTTCACGGTTTTCTTGTAAACAGTTTTCTTGCAAAGGAGATGGAGGCCGTGGAGGCTCAGGAGCTCTGTGATGGTGAGCAGAATGACTTTCAGCTGTCATTTCTTGATTTCGAACTATGTCAACGTCATGATTATCAGGTGGCAAGTTTGTAACCGGTCAAGCATGTTCTTCGTGACGTTGGGATGTTCGACGTGGTTGCGAGGTAGCATGCAAAGGTGTTGTTCGAGTCGCCTGATTTCGTGCGAGAGGATTTGGTGGTTCAGTCGTCGGAGCTAATAAATAAGTCTGTAAGTGGGCTGCACCCGCCGCACCAGGTAACGCCCGCGCCATAAGCGATGAAAGACCTTGAATAAAATCTGGATTGCGAAAAACGCTTGTGAAATCCGTCGTGACAGGCGGTTGCGTGGTCTGCCCGGCAGAATAATATGTATTACGACTCTGCTCAGCATGTGAGTTGTGGTCTCGCCCGGATTAAGACATCGTCACACGTAGTACGGTGTTTAACGGCTGAATATACGCAAGTAATGGCTATCAAAGGAAGATTAACCTAAAAAACTCATAAGGCCCTCCTTCTCGCGCGAAACTGTTGTTATATGACAATTAACGACAATAATAAACGAAAGAACTTTAAGAGAAAAACACGTAATGACCGAAAATGACGTTGTTGTTAGTGTAACCGACGTTGATATTTATTGCATATTGATTGGGATAATGTTTTTAAATTATTACAATAGTCATAAATGTTCGAACCCCTTTTTTTAGGATTCATTCCGCTATTTATAGTACGATGACCAACTGTACGAGGTTGGTGTGATCGCATTTAATGCAGAGGCCAAGTCAAAGTCGGTCATCTGTCACTTGGATTTGTTGTTTGCCACCTGGATAACAGTCATGATGACCAGCTGAGCCGTCACCGCCTCTTGATACCGATAAGTACGTTTTGTGGACGTCGGTTAGCTAGGCCTTGACTAATGAGAGACTTCGGTTGAAGGAATAGAGGTATCGATCTTGCTGTCTGTTTGTCAAGTAACGATGTCGGTTCTTAGCCCGCTGTATCCGACGTGATGGTACTTGAAGCATGTGAGCTCAAGATCCTTGAGTTCGCGTAGCTTTGTGCTAACAATCCTTGATAATCTGGTTTTCCGAAAACCATGTCAACATGATCAAATTTTGAAAATATAATATGTTCATTATCTAGAATTTTAATATTAAATTCTCAAATATTACTTATAATATTTTGTAATAATAATATTAAATTCTCAAATATTACTTATAATAGCATAGTTAAAACTTTGGAATCTTATAAATAATTTTTTTGTAATAATAATAATAATAATCAAACTGTTATTATCTAATGATAATAAACAATTGTTCATAATAATAAACAACCGTTAATTTATTTTTCCTAATGATCAAATTTTGAAAATGTAATATGTTCATTATCTAGAATTTTAATATTAAATTTTCAAATATTACTTATAATATTTTATGTATATCTGTGCATATGCACAGGATATTTACTAGTTATCCCTAATTACATGATTAACTCTAACTATGTAGTATCACTATTATTAGCTAAATAGTAAGGAAAATGCTAAAGTCCCGTTACGAAATCATTCCGTTGGGATTTTTAACCGTTAGATGCACATGTAGATTAGTGTAGCATGTGCATTTAACGGTTAAAAATTCCAACGAAATAGGTTTGTAACAAAACTGTAGTAAATACCCTATCAACTAATAAAATTAGGCTCTCTGACGACGGAAAAAATGAAAAATCCCCAAATCTTGCCCTAGCCGTTAATCACACCAGCGGATGCCTCCTTTGTGGTCCGGGTTTGGTTAGCCTATTAGGGGAGTTTCCGGATCCGTTGTGTTTGGGCCATGGATCTCGTGGTCTCTCTCGGTATTTCACAATGGATGTTTGCTTGGGGTGTGGTGGAGCTTGGGTTTCCCGTCCGGTGGGGGAGGGTTGTCGTTTTTTTGCTTGTTTTAGATTTATAAGTGTTTGTGTGTTTTGTTTTGTTTGTATGTTTGGTTGTGTTTGTTCGTGTGCGTTAGTGTTTTTTTTCTCCTACTTTAAGAGTGTGAATTCTCCCGTGGGAGTATGTATTCCTCATTAGTGGGGTTTTAGTTTTTGTGGTTTTGTTGTGTGTTGTGTTCTAGGCTACCCGTGGGTGTCGTCCTCCCTTATTCGGCTAGTGAGCCGGTTGTAATTATGTGTTTGTTTTTTTCTATGAATTTGATCGTTTGAAAAAAAAAAAACTAATAAAATTAGAAATAGTCGAGTAATAAAATGTATGAAAAAGAAAGAGAGAAAATCTATAATTGTATTAAAAGAATAACCTTTTTTAGGTTCCCGCCAATTTTTGCTACATTACCCGCCAATAGACATATTCACGCGCCAATTGTCCAACAATCTTGAAGGAAAAACAGATCAGCTGATTTTTAGGGTACAAATTTGTGATACTGTCAATTGTACAGATTTTGCGGTTGTCCAACAATTGGAAATATCAGCAGATACTGTTTTCTGTTGAATTGTTTCCTTTTTGCTATTTTTTAGGTTATACACTATTTCAGATACATTTAAGAGTGAAACAAATCGGTTGATATTTAAGGTACAGATTTGTGATAATTGTTACAATTAAATGTAAAAACCAACGATAATGTTTTGGTTGAATTGTTTCCTTTTTGCTATTTTTAGGTTATACACTATTTTAGATACATTTAAATCTTTTTTTTTTTTTGTGATAAACATTGATTTCAACTCCAACAATAGACAGTCTTATCTCGATATGTACAAAATTATTAGTTCGAAAGAATTCGATTTTTCTTATTAATTTGA